TGGCAAGTCCTTCGACCACTGTAACATGGTTCCTGCACAAGCGTGAAAGCCCTTGATCACCGACTTTCGTTCAAAGCCCTCTCTTTGAACACTCAGGAACTTCTTCCCTAACCTTGATAGCCTTGCCTCATGGCAAGCTTCAAGACCACGCTTCTGCTGCGCCACTCTGATTTCGCGCGTTCCTTGAACCATTTACGCTTGGCCTTTTTAGGTACTACGCTACCTAGAATCATCTTTGGGAACCTTGAAGGAACTCTGTCCCTTAGCTTGCTAAAGCCTCCCTTTTTGCAAGCCTTCCAAATGCCACATAGTCTAACATGGACAATTCCATATTTTAGACTCTCCATGGCATCACGGTTGCTAGCGGCAACACCCTCGAGCCCCCACTTGATTCTCCACTCCCAGCTGGCATAACCAACCTTAGTTATGCCCTTTGATTCCTACGGTTCGGTTCTATCCCCTTACTTCTTGCTTTTTGGCTTCACACCTTTCCTTTGGTCATTCTCCTCCAGACCAGGAGGATAGCTTTGCACTTTCTATAATGTTTTAGCAAGTATTCTTAGGGATGAACCTACCCAATAGCCTAGGGAGTGGTTCCTCAATCCGGGTATGCTCACCTTATAATCCCACACACTGGGATTACATTGTTACTTATGGGCCTTTACATGCCCATCACTAGCCTTGCCAAAATTCCATTTTTGGCTTTGTCCAACTCAGGTAGACAGTCCTCTCCTGTCTCCGCAACCTTGGACATTTGGATAGCACCTTCTATCCATCATTCGCTAGGGACTGAGTCCCTTGGGCTTTATCCATTGCCCTCGCGACATCAAACACCACCTTCTGGTGTTCTAGAGTGTTCGGGTGTCCCAATGATGGCTTTCTTGACAATGAGTATTTCCTTTTATGACATTGACTTACTATATCGCAACACAAGTAACTTATCCCCCGTAAGGGTATATCCAACTTCCCTATGCTATTAAGAAGTCTTGGGTAGCTACCTTCTACCCGTTTAACCAGTTATTCTGCACCTCTTGCTTAGTTGCCTCATAGTTGTCAAGTCCTACAACTCATTGCTTGGTGCTTCCACACCTCCATCATTATCTGGGTCACCACACTTCAACTGCATGCTCTGCAGCTTAGGCTATGCCATTCCCATTTCCATTGAGATTCCTTTGGCAAGGGGTTCTCATGAACCCACCAACATAGCCTCAAGGTATCACACCTTGGCACATTTGGTGTCTCCACACCATCGGCTCCACGAGCCTACCTCTATGACACTTCCCCTTTGTGTCTAAGTCTTTGCCAAGACCAACACCGCTCTTTCTCATGCCAACCACCTGTTAGCACTGCACCATAGAGGTCACACACAACTTTGTGTCAAAGTTGTTTTCTTCTGGGAACACCTTTCCCATAACTTTATCATGGCACATTTTGCCATTAATGAGATAGCCTCTGTTCTCATCCTTGGATCCTATGATCCCCCCCCATCCTTCGTGGGGTACAACACACCTCAGTCAAAATGCTTCCATCAGTCCTTTTAGGACCATCCGTTGACTCTACTTGAGTCATCCAGCAGTTTTGGACTTGGTTAATCCACAGACCCGTAAGGTCCTACTTGTGAGGCACTAGCTCACTGGAATACACTTCTTGCATTCCTGTCCTACTCAAAAGGACTATTTTCACAAGTGTTACTCCGACACCTGATTTTGTTCTTTGGGGGCAACCTTTGCCCCTTAGGACTACTTGTCCATGTGATGAGAACACCAACTCATCCACTTAATACACCCCCAACTCCTTGGGTTGTTCCAGCATTTATTAGAGGTAGCCCCGGCTACCTTTTCAAGGACTTGAGTCCTCTTCTGTATTTGACCTCCCACGGTCATTACTTCTGGTCTCACATTCATGAGCACCAACCTCAACTATATGAGGAAAATCTTGTGACTCCTTTATTGCTTTGGAGTCTTTATCTTTCCCGTGATCCCAACTGTAGTTGTTTACCACAACTACATTAGCCAGTTTGCTAAGTCAAACGCTCATCTGGATCACATCCTCAACTCTTTGAGGAAAACCATATACTGTTCCCAAGATCCCAAAGTCGTTCCATTATTGGCCCTTTTCTATCCACCACCTCGTCTACAAGTTCACACATGAACTGTAATGGAGAGCCATGTCTTCCCGACTTGCTACTCCTCAAGGATAGGCCCACTCCTCGGACCTTCCGATGCCAACACTAGTGGTGATATACTTGAGCACCAATAAAAGTCGGACTAAGGAACAGCTCCGATACCAAATTGTAAGCGACTAAATTTTCCGTTCTACTTTAGTCACTTAACCACACCTCCGACCACTTGGAGGAGTCTCATTCACAACCTCCATCAGTCCAATCCAGGACTTGGGACTTGCTAGCCCCGAGAATGGCATCCATGCCACTCAACATTTACACTTGGTCCAAGTGCTCCACGTGTCCGATCCCATGACCGACACTCAAAGGTACCACCGACATGGCAGCCCGTTACGCTAAGGCCATGCCCAATCACCTTTGCCACACTGGTAGTCCAATACCACTTGCATCACAGTCTTGGCTCTCCAAGACTAGGCAAACCATCCGTGAGTGGTCATCTCAGATCCACTCCTTAGCATCCTTAGGATGCCCACTAACAAGGGGAATAGCCTTCCCCAATATCCCTCTATCAGTCCCCACTAAGTCCCTTTCTGCCCTTGGCCGTGTTTGCCAACACTGCCACTGGATCGAGGCCCACAGGCCCGACCACTAAGTCTCACGGTCCTCTGGGACTTCTTCACCACACGACTGTGTCCTTGGTCACTTCTCCAGAGGACTGCTCCTCTTCCTTTCCACAGTCTGGGCCTTTGGGACAACATTTCGGAACACCGTGGCCTTACGCGAGCCACCTGGGTACTCTCCCCACCTATCGCCTTTAGGTGCTCTAGCCATGGGCTTAGAGCGAGGTTCCGTTGAGCCACGCCTGGTATCCAAGTAGGTAGTGCCACCCACACTTGGACTGGGAGCATCGGCCAGTCGATCTCCCGGGGGAACTAGAGCCGGCTCTTGAACACTTCACCAAACTACCCCGCTTGTCGGTCCGTGTTCACTCTAGTCTTGGACTTCCCAGTGGGCAGCTCATCACCCAACACTGGGTCCAGCCTTCCTGGGCCAAACTGGCCTTTCCTGGCTAAACTGGCTCCACTGCAGTCCTCCCCCTACTATACTTTTGGAGCTCACCAAACCCCCCAGGGTCTGGGAGACGAACGCTTTGGGCTTTCACCCTCTCAGGCTCCGGACTCGGACTTGGACTCGGACTCGGACTCGGACTCGGACTCGGACTCGGACTCGGGCTCGGGCTCGGTCTCGGCCTCGGCCTCGGTCTCGGTCTCGGTCCCGATCTCGGTCTCGGTCTCGGTCTCGGTCTCGGTCCCGGTCTCGGTCTTGACTTCGGACTCCATCTCGGACTCCATCTCGGACTCCATCTCGGACTCCATCTCGGGTCCATCTCGGGTCCATCTCGGACTCCATCTCGGACTCCATCTCGGGTCCATCTCGGACTCCATCTCGGACTCCATTTCGGGTCCATCTCGGGTCCACCTCGGACTCCATCTCGGACTCCATCTCGGGTCCATCTCGGACTCCATCTCGGACTCCATTTCGGGTCCATCTCAGGTCCACCTCGGACTCCATCTCGGACTCCATCTCGGACTCCAACTCGGGTCCATCTCGGACTCCACTTCGGACTCCAACTCTGGTCCATCTCGGACTCCACTTCGGACTCCAACTCGGGTCCATCTCGGACTCCCACGTGTCATGTGTTGGCCCTTTTGGGTCCCTTTTTGGAGCCTCGCCTTTTGCTCGCTTCGTGCTCGTTCCTCGAGCACTTCGTTGGGAGTTCCACTCCCACTCTTGACTTTTCAAGTCGGAGCTTTTGGTCCAAACGTGTTACGCTCGTTTGGCTCTCGCTTCGGCCACTACCATGTGGCGCCCTTCCAGCTCCACTTTGGGGCCTAGGGATTTTGTGTCTCACACATATTTGGCTCCGCACGAAGCAAAAGACTTCGGAAACGAACGCCAAATTGCATCACCGACTCAGATGGCCCTTGGCGAAGACGATGCAATTGTTGGAAGGCATCATCACAATCGTCGGCGTGTCCGAAGGCGCGTTTGAAAACGTCCGGAAGAACACTCCAATCGCCACAAGTAGCTGCGCTCAATCCATTGTACCACTGCAATGCCGTCCCTTGGAGACATGTGGGGAACTCACGCAAACGTCGAGCATCATCCTAAGAATGATATGTGGCAATCACCGTGAAGTGATCGAACCAATGGTACACATCATCCCCAGGATTCCCATGAAAGAACTCCGGCCGAACGCGAGGATTGGCACTAAAAGCAGGAGGAGTTGTACCATGTGCCGTGAACACCGCCATCAATTGAGTTTGGTTGTTCAATTGCAAGTGCATAGCATCAAGCAATTGAACCAACTGCTACTCTAGAGTCAAAGGAGGAGATTGCGGATCGGCCATGAAAATGAATGAAAAAGAAAGAGCAAAAGAAGAGAAATGACAAAAAGCTGGAAAGAAATGGTAGATGTAGACAATGCAAAAAGCTAGATCTAAACCAAAATCCTGAAAGGAAAGAACAAAAGAAAGGAAATGGAAAAAGCTAGATCTAGACAATGCAAAAGCTAGATCTAAACTGAAATCCCAAATCCAAGCACTCCCTAGGGACAATCAAAGGTGCCCCTCATCTCCACCAATGTGAGTGCATGGAATATGGAAAGGGAATACATAAATGTGCATCTCAATTAGCCCAAAAACCTTAGCTTATATACAGGAGCGAGTGGTCTGGATTGAAACCAATCCGACGGCTACCAAAATCTACTACGCTAATATTAGTATACGGCATCGTAGCTGTACACTTGCCCCTCACAAAAGCAGTTAAAAAATGTATCCTAAAGCTATATAAAATTCCCTTTTAGTAATAAAATAAATATTAAAAAACAAGTTTAAAAGTTTGTAGTTTTGGCCTAATGCTAATGTTAACAATTCAAAATCTATGGAAAACAAGTCTCAGAGAGGCAGTGTTAGAATCTCTACACCAGTTTCTAGGATGAGCACAGTGTGCTCAAACTGTGCTGCATAGCTACCATCCTTAGTTACTGCTGTCCAACCATCGTTCCAAATCTGATACTCCGTTCCTCCAGTCGTTAAAATGGGCTCTGCGAGATCAGAGCATAGACGTGAGAGCTATTAAACGAGAGAGTTTTTTCCTTCTTTCTTGTCTTGCCTATAGTGAATGTTTCTCCCACTTGCATTTTTCCAGGAATTCTATTGCCTGGAAAGAAAGGATTCATGAAACTTAAGAAACTTTGGAGCTGCAAAAGAAGAAAACGCTTACGGTAAGGTATGATCGCTGGAGCGGAATGGAAGTATCTGCCAATGCCATGACCGAGAAAGTCTCGAACGATGCCATAGTTGTAGCGATCGGCAATTTCACTAGGAAGAAGAATAAAAAGATCCTGTGAGGCAACAAAGATAACACTTTTATTTACTTGATTGTTTCTCCAATGAGTCTGTAGTCAACTCCAGGGCCACAGATAGAAATCGCCATGGTTAAACACTCTCGAGTTACCTACGCAAAAGAAAAAAAAACCAGAGAAAAGATCAGAAGAAACACAAATAATATCGATTTGGAAAAGGAAAAATGGAAAGAGCTTACATCCACCAGCTGTTTGAGCTCGTCGTCGACATTGCCGCAAAGAAACGTCTTCGATGTGTCGCCGTGAAATCCCTGCAACAAGGAAATCAATCAAAGCTAACAATCCTGGAAAAACTAGAAGTGGAAACCTTACGCTTCTGTACACCGTGACATCGATGTTTATGATATCGCCATCCTAAAGCAGCAGCTGGAGTAAGAGAAGCTTGATCTGGGAAGAAGAAAACAGAAAGAGAAAAAAGAGATCTTGCCTCCAACGGACGGGAATCCGGGATTCCATGACATATAACATCGTTTACTGAAGTGCAAATGCTCTTTGGAAATCGCGCATATCTGAGCGGAGAGGGATACGCTCCAGAGTTCATGATCAACTTGTGAGCTTGCCTATCAATGTAATCGGTCGTGACCCCTGGCTTTTGAAGGAAAACAATCAGACTTCCTTTTTCTTTCTGAGAGAAATCTAGCGGTGATTGTTACCTTGACAAGAGTTCCAGCGTATTCCAAGACCTGAGCAGCCAACCGGCACGAAGTTCTCATGGATTTTCGGTCGTGCTCATCGTGCACCTGAGGCTCGAGTGGCTGCTCTGGAGTTCCTCGCACAGTTTCTCGCGCGTACATGGGCCTCTTTGTGTTTTTCGGTAGAGCCAACTCTCGTGAGATCACCCCTGGCTTGACTCTCTTTCGTTGCTTGTTTGGTATGACGATCCTAGAAAAGAGAAAGAAAGAAGAAAGATCATGCTACCATTAGGCTAGAAAGAATCAAGCTCGAAAACGATGGCAAGAACTTCTCTAAGAATTTAAATCCACACTGCATGCGATGCCAAGAAGAGATAGAACAACGAGGAAGAAGCTCATAACACGATGGCATGAAATGCCAATGCGGCTTACCTGCTATTGAGATTTTCAGCAACATCGAGCGAGCCTGCGAGGAAAAAGAAAATCAAATCCATTGCACAAACCGAGGCAAAGATCGATCAAACCCGAGCCCGGCGAAGATTGCGAGAAAAAGGCCACATTTGCCCGTCGAAAGAGCGAAGAGAGGCGTCTCCGCAGCATCACACCAAGCTTTAAACCCTAAACCCCCTACAAGGAATCGAGCTCGAAATCCCATAGTTCTTTTGCTGTGAAAATCTCCACTCTAGCAAGATCGATCGATCGGTAAAAAAGCTCTCGATCGAGCTTACTTGGGGTTCTCTGTGGACGAACTTGGAAGAAAAACACGATCGTAGGCTTCTTGAAAGGATATCTTGAGCTCCACGAAACCAACCAAAGATTTTCTAGAGAATATATAAGGAATTTTAGTAGAAGCACCGTGAGTAGGGCAAGCTCTTCTTGCATGGCGCTCCTCTCCAAAATATTGCGATGGAGGGCGCGATCGCGCGCGCGATTCAGCTCTTCGGCATCCGGCGCCACCGCTGCCGCGGCCGCCGAGGAAGAATCTGTGGCGCGGGAGCGGCAGCCGGCGGGATCAGCAGCGGGCAAAGGTGAGAGCTCGATCGATCCTATTCCGCATCCGAATGCTTCTTTTCTTGCATGGCGCAGCTAGGTCTTTTCTTCCCGGCGCTACAGTCGCGACACTGGCGATGGTCGCAGTGCTGCAAGGAAAGAGAATTTACGAGGAGAAACAGGTGGATTTTTTTCGAGGGTAGCCTGTGATGTGACAATGCTGATGGATGGTTTGCTTTGTTTCTAGATGGAGCTTGCGATACAAAATGGAATCGAGCCAGAGTTTTCTCCAGACACCAAGGTACACTAGAAGAGTTTCCGGGTTTTTGGAAAGGTCTATGGTTCCTACATTTTCTTTCTTGTTTTCCAGGCCTCGTTTCTACGACTGTTGCCACTGCGCTTCATCTCTCGTGTCTGGGGATCGATCTCGTCGATTGTAAGTCAGGTTTCATGCATTGTTTATATGTTTCTTATTTTTTTTCTTCTCTTAGAACTTGCCTACGTGGTCACGACCTTATGTGTACAAGGGCTGGGCTCGAGCGTTTCACACAGGTATATGTACAGGACTTGCGAAAAGCTTAACTTAAATGTGTTGTTCAGACCTGGACGAGGTACCTCTGTCTCTGGAGGAGTACTCCTCGCTTCGCGAGTTTTTTGCCAGAGGACTGAAAGCAGGAGCACGGCCGATCGACACTCGAGAAAACTGTATGGTAAGTCTGTCTTGTCTTATTGTTTTCCTGCTGATAGCTGAATTCTCATAATGCACAGCTGAGCCCTGTGGATGGCATAGTCACGAGGTATGGCCGTGTTGCGCAACCGGGAGCGAAGGTAGAGCAAGTGAAAGGATTTACGTACTCGCTGTCTGCTCTCCTTGGCTTTGAGCCGAATCCGATAAAGACTGCAGCGGCACCAGAAGAAAAGAAATCGTCCCGAAGTATATTTACATTCTGGCGGTCACCAGGCACTGACAAGCGGCCCAAGGAAGTGAGGTAAGGTAAGGTACCTTCGTTTTTTGCGTGATGTTTGGATGCCTTTATCTTTCCAGGCCCCCTCGCGCACTTTTCTATTGCGTTTTGTATCTGGGCCCTGGAGATTATCACCGCGTGCATTCTCCTTCCAACTGGTGCATAGAGAATCGGCGTCATTTCTCAGGTACAAGTTTGAATGCCTTTTAAGCTGGGTGCATTTTAAAGTGCTTTTCTCCATTTCCAATTGTCCAGGAGATCTGTATCCTGTCAATGCGCGTGCCGCCAGGACAATTAAGAATCTCTATGTTGTCAATGAGCGAGTAAGTTGCAGTACTGTGCAGCAGATATGAGTCTGATCACATCTCTTTCGTCCAGATTGTGCTGGAAGGGGAATGGCAGGAGGGACTCATGTCCATGGCTTTAGTCGGAGCAACGAACTGTGGCTCGATTGAGGTAAGATATGATTCGTGTGTATCAAGTTCTGTATAGCTTCTCTTGACTAAATCTTTTGCTTGACAACAGCTAAAGTTCGAGCCAGATTTGAAGACAAACATCCCCAAGGCAGAGTCGTCAATCAAAGAAAACTGTGGCTACTGCATAAGAAAGGGTGACGAGGCAAGTCATTATTTTTGTGGAGATCCTTTTGAGAGCCTCTTTATGTTTCAGGTAGCCACGTTCAACCTTGGATCAACTGTGGTGATGGTGTTCGAGGCTCCAGGGGAAGTGGAAGATCTTTTCAAGGTCCTAGACAATCCTTACCAGGGCTTTAACTTCACAGTCGAGAAGGGCCAGAGGATCAAAATGGGCCAAGCGCTCGGTCAGTGGTAACCAGGTAACTTGATACAAATTTTGCTAGACAGGACTGTGAATAGCTAGCTAGCTATCTCATGCGAGTGAAGTGCTTCTAAACTTTCAAACAAATCTGGTTTCTAGTGCGCCTCTATTCCTGCTCCTGACGATTTCCTGCGAATTTCAGAGACGTATTGCTGCCTGGAAGTGTAGATTTGAGAAGAGTGAAGCTCTGGAAGAACAAAAGAAGAGAGAGAGAGAGAGAGAGAGAGAGAGAGCGATTCTACCTGATGGGATGATCATCTTGAGGTCGGTTATAAGGTGTCCAAATGGGAGCTCCAACGAAAAGCCTCATCGCCTATCAAGTAAAAAAACACTTCGAGCAAATGGAAGTAAAAAGAAGATCAAAGAAAACCTTGATGTAGTTTGACTCGTCGTTTGTGAAGCGATGGTAACTACCGGCAGGCAAGACGATCATATCGCCCTTTTCGACCCATATCCGGATCCAGCGATCATCGGAGTCTCGCACATCAAAGTAGCCTGCCACAAGAAAGAATGAAACAAGTAAAGCTCTCAAGAGAAATCGCGATTTTAGTACCACTTCCGTCGAGACAGTAGCGAATCTCTTCGTCAGTGTGGATGTGCTCCTCGTAGAAGGTCTTGATTTTGTGCTCGTAATTCGGCAGCTTGTCGGGGCTGACAGTGATGAAATCCTGCGCGTGGAGAGAGACTATAGAACTTACAGAGAAGAGAAAAGAAAAGATAGCAAGATATGTCTACTTCGTAATCGTAGCCACGCTCCTCGCGGAGCTTCTTGAGTTGGGGATCCGTCTCGTACTCGTCGGCATTCATCACCCAATGCAAAACCCCCAATTCTGCAGGACCTTCGGATCAATCACCACAACCAGGAAAAGAGGAGAAGAATTTCTGCCGCCATACCTGAGAGATGCTCCTCACTCACATATTGCGGAGGATCCAGATGGTGAGGAAGCCTCTGATCCTCGCAAGAGCTGTCCATGTACCAGGCCTTCATCGCTTCGATGGATCAAGAGGCCTGGAAAGAAAAAAACCACAGGGAATTCATCAAGCCCAAGAAAGCAGCGAAGCCGCCAAAACATACCAATCAAGGAAGCAGTCGAGGTACCATTTGACACAAAAACCTGTTTATAAAACAAAATGGGCATACTCACGGGATATTCGGGCTCAAAATCCCAGCCACCCAAGTAGCAGTCAAAGCCATGCCACGTCACTGTCAAGCAAGGGCTCCCACCTGACTGTGAAAAGGAGCTCAATTTATAATCGAACTTGTTTGTATGCGTAAGATAAAAGAGCTGATTTGCTTATATCAGGTGGCGCCGAGGAAGGGCAACACGGACCAAGGAGATGAGGTGAGGAGCACTGGAGACCAGGATTGACAATGGCAACCAGGCAATGGACGCTTTAGTCTCTGATGAAGACGTGGCTCAAGATGCAGATGCCATTGAAGGTGCAACACTTATTGGTGCAGCATTTCTAAGTCTTTCGGTCTCATACTTTATAGAAGTGCAGCATTTCGAAATCTTTCGATCTCATATGCTTTATAGAGGTAGACGCATTACAAGATAAATAAATAGATAGATAGCTGTTTTCAAAGTTTGTGCAAGACACCCCAAGTTGGGCAAGACTTTGTAAACAGTATATGAATGAATGAATATCTAATTCGACAGCCACTTCAAAACACTTACTAATAGTGCACATAGATAAATAGATGTTTTTAAAGTCAATGCAACACTTCTTTGGGCAAGACTTTGTAAACAATATATGAATGAATGAATATCTAATTCGACAGCCACTTACTCGTGCACATAGATAAATAGGTGTTTTTAAATATCTGGGCAAGACTTTGTAAACCGTATATGAATGAATGAATATTTAATACTCCATAAACACTTACTGGCGCACCTCAATGAATGAATATCTAATCCCACAGCCACTGTTATCCTTTGAGTAGATTGAGACATCAGGCACAAAGCCATGCAAAAAGAAGAAACGGAGTACTCAGCAATCTCTTCTCTTGTTGTTTTGTTTGGGTGTCACTCCTTGAGCTGGGCAAGCTCGGCCTTGAGCTGCTCCATCTTCATCCCCATGGCTCTCTGGACGCCACCTTTTTCTTCCGGGCTCAATTTGGCGAGGAGCGCTTGGTACTTGTCAAGCACCGCCTGCACAGCCACTCTAGCGGTCTCGGCCTCCTCGTTGAAATACACCGTCTCTTTCGACTCCGAGGCCAGCTCAATCTCTTCCCTGGCCTCGGCGAACTTGGAATTGATATCATCCAGCTCCTTGTTGTGATTCTTCTCGCTCAATGTCGAGTAGCGGTACCTGGAGCGCGACGATGATCCAGGTTCCCTCTCGATCGATGATGATCCGCGCGGCGCAACAAAATGGCGGCAGGGATCACTGCGCCGTGCGATTCCGGGAGAGATTTTGGGGAGATCTTGCCGAGAGAAGCTTACCAGGGCGGCGGCGGGCGAGCGATGGCGCAGGAGAGACGTTAAAACCCTAATCGCCATAGCTGACGAGGCTGACTGGTGCCAGCGTATAACTTGGCCGTCAATGACTTCCAGTTTAGGGTTCTTCGGGAGAGAAGCTCGCGCGATCGTTGTCTCTGGTATTGTCGGCGTATTTCCCTGGAATTTCCAGCAATTTCTTGCAGATCGGGGCAAATGCAGAGGCTAGAGATGCCGCTCTTGGACGCTCCCGGTCCGAGGATTTCTTGCAGAGCATCGTTCTTGGAGCTTGCAAGGCGCCACATTCTCGACTGGATTGTGGTCGTGCTCCTTGGCGGGGCATTCTATGGGCTCCATGTCCTCCATCCTTTCCAGAGATTTGTGGGGAGGTACATGCTGGACGATCTGCGATATCCCATGAAATCCAGCACGGTTTCCTTTGTTTACGTTCCGGTAAAGCACTTTTTTCCTCTTGCGAACGCTTTGGTGTAGTGATGGAAGTTTTGGTAGTCTCTTTTGATCAGGTGATTTCCCTGGCAGTTCCTGCTCTCATCATTCTATGTTTCCACGCTTACAAAAGAGATCCTCGCGACCTTCACCATGCTCTGCTGGGTAAGTTTTTCTTGGTTTTTCTTCTCTCTCTTCCTACACTTGTTTTCTCAATGCTACGATCCAGGGCTGGCTTTCTCACTCGCTCTTGCTGGTGTTGTGACAAATGCGATCAAGGTGTCTGTTGGTCGGCCTCGGCCGGATTTCTTCTGGCGATGCTTTCCAGATGGAGTCGAGGTATGTAGCAGTTTCTTTTCCAATGACACCTTTGTGATTGTTTTCTCGATTCAGATCTATACAGCAATTGGCGAAGTTCTCTGCACTGGTGACGAGGCTGTGATCAGAGATGGACACAAAAGCTTTCCAAGTGGCCATGCCTCGTGTGAGCGACTTCTTTATTGTGTATATTCTAGTTTATTTGACTTCTCTGGCAGGGTGTTTCGCAGGACTGGGCTACCTGTCTCTCTATTTTGCTGGAAAGCTTCAGCTGTTTGATCACCGTCGAGAAGGACAAATGTGGAAGTTTTTAATTCCATTTGCGCCGCTTGCGGTCGCAGCCTACGTTTCCATTTCTCGCCTGGAAGACTACAAACACCACTGGGAGGACGTGTGCGTTGCCGCTTTGATAGGTACCTTGGCCTACACAAGTTATGATCATTGAATAGTTTTTTTTCTTTGACAACAGGAATGACAAGTGCTACATTGTGCTATGGGCAACATTTTCCATCTGTTTTTGGAGCTCCCGATTGTAAGTTCTCTCCTGCCTTCCAACATGACCGATCTTAACTTGTACTCGTACAGCTCAGGGAACTTACTCGCAGCTAACTCAGCAACCATCATCCCCACGCAACAAAGTCTTGGAGGATAATCCTCCATTACCACCAGAGAGTTCCAACGTTTAAACGACACACACTACTTACCGACACTTACTATCGATTAACGGGTTTAAACAAACGCTCAAAACAACGTAACTTCTTTGAGCATTTGGCAAGTGTAACATTAGCTGGTAACTAAGTTTGACATTAACAGGTAACTAGTAGTGTTTTTCCGATCCAACCGAGACACCATCTCTGCTGCTCGAGCTGCCAAGACAACTTCTCTATGCATCTTGCAAGAGCCCAACAACGATTCCCAGTCACCAACGTCAGGAACAAAGGGCATGTTGACAATAATCTCCTCGGCACCTTTGAGCTGCCCGGCTCTTCCCAGGATATCCACCATCGCTCGAAAGTGCTCCTTGGTTGGAGATAGTTCTCGCTCAGAAACCATAAATCTAAAGAATTTCCGGCCTTCCTCAACAAGACCCAAGTGGCTGCAAGCGTTCAAAATGTGAGTGAGCAACACTTGGCAGGAATCCAGCCCTTCAAGGTTCAAGCGTTGGAAGAGATCAACGGCTTGGCTCCCAAGTCCAAAGTGCGCATGCGCTGCCACCATTGACGTCCATATCACAGCGTTTAAACAGGGTATCTTGTCGAAGATTCCTCTTGCTTTGCAAAGATGCCCACTCTGGGCATATGCTGCAAGAATAACAGCCCAAGACACCGACGTCCGCTCGACCATGTTGTCAAACAATATCTGTGACGTGTCCAGGTCTCCAGCAGCCACGTATGCTATGATCACCGTTGTCCACGTCACCACATCTTTGTCCGGCATTGAAAGCAGCAACTCTTTTGCTTGATCAAGATGCCCATTCAAGGCATATGCCGCAAGCATAGCATTCCATGTCACAAGATTCTGCACAGGCATCTTGTCGAACAAACACTTTGCGTGCTCTACTTTGAAAGAATCGACGTATGCACTGATCATTGTGTTATACGCGATTACGTCGTGATCCCTCATCGAATCAAACATTCTCTTTGCACGGTCTAAATCTCCGGCTTGGGCATGAGCTTGAATCATCGTCGTACAAATCTCTGTGTTTAAGGTTGGAATTCGATCTATCAGTGCCATTCCGGCTTCTACTTGGCCATGTTTCGCGTATGCAGCGATCATCGCCGTGATCGAAACCTCATTTTGCTCGGGCATGGAATCAAAGATGAGTTTAGCATCGCCCACCATGCCAGTTTTGCCAAGAATCGCCACCATGCTCGTCCAGGACACGACATTTCTTTCAGGCATTCTATCAAACACGGCTCTAGCCCCCTCAAGGTGGCCGCTATGAGCGTAGGCGATGATCATGGCCGTCCACGTCACCACGTCCGTGGACGGCATCCGGTCGAACAACCCCTTTGCTTCTTCCAGATTCCCTATCTCGGCATATGCCGCCAGCAAGGTTGTCCAGAGTACCACGTCTCTGTCGGGAGCCAGTTGAAAACATTCCCGCGCATATTCCACATTGCCGTTGTTTACAGCGGCTGTGATTAGCATATTCCATGACACGGAATCTCTGGCTGGCATGTCCTCGAAGATCTTTCTACATTCTTTCAGATGCCCTGTCCGCGAATATACCTGGAGCATAGTATTCCAAGTGACTAGATTCCTCTCCGGGGCATTGTCAAATATCACCTTGGCCTCGTTTAAGTTTCCCTGCTTAGCATAGGCTGTCAAAATGGCTGTGACAGCAATTACGTTGGTCTCGGGCATCTTTTCGAGTAGCGTCCATGATTTCTCCAATTCGCCATTCTGGACAAATGCCACCACAACAATGCTCCAGGAGAAAAGATTGGGTTGTGCGATTGAATCGAACACTTGAAGCGCTTCGCCAAGGCTGCCAAGTTTGCCATACATTTGGACGAGCAGGTTGGAGATATACTTGTTTTTGGAGAGCCTGCTCTTGTGTATGCTCCAGTGTACTCGACTTGCAGTGGCTACATCTCTAGCGTTTCTTACGAGCTCTGCAACGCGATGCTTCTCATTCTCAAAGCTTGCACTGTAAAGCTCTGATTCAGCCAAAGAGCAAAGTAAAGTTTTCATGCAAATTCGACAGCTTTAAAAATATTTTTTTAATTCAAAATGTATTCAACTATTTAATATCAAAGCCTGTCTTAGACTTTTAACTATTTAAATCAAGGACCCGTAACCTACAGGGCGGAGGATCGAAAACCATAAAGTTTTTTGTTTTTCTAATTTCGAAAATGCGCTTGTTTACAGCGTTCCAGAAGCTCCCATAGCTCACGACTGGAAGCCGCTACAAGAGAAAACTCTGAGCAGTGTAGCCAGGCTGCTCCGTCCAGAGGATGGACTAGTTGTGCTGGCCAAGGAACTTGGAACTTGGAACTTGCTGGAAGCTGGTCGATGACTAGAACTTGCGCGGGGATGGAGATCAACAGTTCATCAAGGTGATGCTCTGCGAGGTACAGCATTTTCCAATTCTATCTATGTTTCTCATCCAAGACGTGACTCTTTGAAACTTTCAGAGATATGACGAAGAACGGTAGATGATGAATTGACTAAGTTTGTCTACTCGCGGAAGCTTCATGTCGCTGGTAAGTGCCTTGTTTTTTTTTTATCCATTTTCAGCAACAAAGTTTTTCCTTTCCACAACCGCAGCTATGGCTTTTGTGGAGCACTTGGTCCTCCTAAGGCTGAAGGAGTTATCAAATTCTCAAGAAGAAGAAGTGCTACACGCGCTCAACAATCTCAAGAGCCTGGATGGCATTCTCTACTTCAGAGCTGCCAGGATTGCGGAGATCAGCGGTACGTTTTCATTTACTCACGCCCTCTTCGCCAGGTTCTCCGGGAAAGCAGCTCTTGCGCACTACTTGCCACATCCCGAGCATCTCAAAGTTGTGGAGATGGGCAGGCAAATATGCGACGAGTACTTCGTGCTCGACTGGGAGACCAACGATGCCTCTCAAGTGGGAGACGGCCCCAAAGTTTTCATGGTTGTGAAGCTCAAAGACGGGGTTGATTCACAGGTGCTCCTGGAAGTGGCTTCCGTGTGTGCAAAGCACGCTTCTCAGGGGAGATTTGTCAGTGCTGGTTCCGATTTTTCGAAGCGGGGCAGCGGTTTTGATTTTGGATATCTTCTGGGAACTTGCAGCGATTGTCCTCCTGACCAACATGCTACTGCTCTTAAGCATCTGCAAGACGAGCTTGCGTTCCTCCAGGGAGCGATCGATTCTTTCTTGGAGAGCTCTTTTGTTGTCCAGTGTTGACAAAGATTACTATGTAGATTATGGAGGAAATATGGGACTTAATTAATTTCTGGTATGCGCACCGCCTCCGTCTGTGCTCCTCCTCCGGCCTTTTGAGGATCCATGAGTGGCTTGCAAAGATCCAAGGACGCGGACTTGGCCACCCGGATCTGCGTCCGGATCTTGTACTTCGCAGCATACATCTTCGCCAGCGACGATCGAAACAAGTACCCGATGAGCTCGCACATCTCCGCTCGGTTTGTCGAGTGCTGGTACAAGTCGGCCAGCGCTCGCAAGATCTTGTTGACGTGAGCATTGTTGTGAACCTGATCCTCGTGAAAGAGCCGAATGCATGGAAACGTGTTGTCTTTGTCGTCGAGAACGCCTACTCGCTTCAAGCTCTGGACGGCGTGCTCCACAGCGCCGTCCACGCAGAAGACGGTCTTCTCCACTTTCGAAACCGTTCCTCTCTTGTTTGAGGACGGCTCCCACTTCGTTTTCAACTTCTTGGTCTGGAAAAAATGGTGGCTGAGGAACAGCGTCGGCGTTGAGATCGCCTCAGGTGCTCCAAACTCCGGCTCGCGATGATACTTTTGCTTGCAGAAGACTCTACACTTCTCCTCGAAGCTCAAAACGTCGTCTCTTATGCCTCTGACCGAGATAAGGAAGTGAGCTCCAAAGCGGACGTACTCCATTTTCCTAGCATTGTTTGGCTTCTCCTGCTCGTCGGTGCTAAAGTTTACACCGATGGACGGATCGTGAGGCCGACGGAACAGCTCGGCCTGCTTTTCCATCCAGGCGTCGAGCTCGCTTAGATAAACGTTGGCCAGAAACGGACCCAGCTTGTTGCAGCATCCCCAGTCGGGAGTTCTTTGAGCCTCTGCCGGAGCAAATCCCAGAACCACCTCCAGCCACAACGGAGTCCTTCTCGGCTCAAACTCCAGGAACTTCCTTTTTGTCGGCTTCAATCTCTTAAACTGAGGCACGGCCAGAGGAGCACGTGTCTTCATCCCCTTGATGATCAGCTCGCCAACTTCGTCCTGGATCACATTGCGTAGAACCCGGTTGAAGAGCTCGGCCTGTGGATAATCGAAGAGCTTGGAGAGATCTCCTTTTACAGTCCACGAAACATCAGCAAAGTTGCCGTGGATGAATCGCAGGCACTCGCGAGCACCCCTTCCCGGCCTATATCCAAACGATCTTCTTGAGAACTTGGCCTTGTATATCGGCTCCAAAACCATGAGTAGAACCAGCAAAGCCACCAAGTAGTGTAATGGCAAGAATTGGCAAAAGAAAGTTCTTCATGGTTGGATTGTAAATTGTCATTGCAATTGTGGAGGTAAGTGCAACTCTAGTTGCTTTCTTTATAGTAAAAGAGCAAAAGTTTCTTAAGGACATGATGCAAAGGTTTAGGTATTTTCATGCTTTATTGCAAATGTCCTTAACATTCTTATTGTTGATAATCTTGCTTTAGCACTCTTTACATCTCATATGATCAATAGAAAAGAATTAGTGGGATAGAAAATAGGAGATTTCTATATCAAGTCTAAATCTTTTCATTGGTAGTATTAAATGGAGCTAGAGGTTTTGAAGATTGATCTTGCAATTCCAGGAAATATTTTGCCATCTCTACAGGGACTATTAGGGGACAACTTAAAGACTTTACCTCCAACTAGTCTGATAGCATTCTAGGAAGGTTTATTTCAGTATCTAAACAGTTTATGGTTTCTTTGAAGAGGTTGGCAATAGGTGATCATTAGCAAAATATTAGCAATAATTTTAGGATGGCATCATCTACCGCATATAAATGTTTGAAAAAGTTTCTATAAACAACCAAAAAGAATAAATTTATAAAGGTTTAAATACAAAGAGAAATGACCATTTTTTAATAAATTAAGGGTGTTGAGATATTTGAGGTTAACTGTCTTTGGGTTTAAGTATTATTGGGTAAAATGACTTCTCGGGAAATTTAAATTCAAGAAGTTATATTTGGTATCAAAAGGGCTTTGAGTTCAACTTTGTTCGTTAATTAGAAAAAAACACATCATATATTGAGATTTATATTTGAGTTTGGTTTGAAAAATAATCTATAAAGCTTCAAATATAGAAAGAAATAGTCCATGAACAAAAATACACCTTTTTGGTCTAATTAATTATCTTGTTTGCCTTTTTTCAATTGAATTCAGAAACTTATAATTCTATACTGCTTTGAATTCCATGCATCAAATTACTTGGCCTATAGATTCAAATATCAAACATAACTTTCAAGAGTTGAAAGGTTTCCCAAATTGCTTTGGAGCTATGGATTGCACTGATATTCTAGTTTGAATATAGATCCAAAGAATTGGTATGCTAGAGTAAAAATGCATTATTCAATGGTTGTGCAAGAAACCATGGATAGAAAAACAAGGTTTCTAGACTTTTCTATAGGACTTCTAGGCAATATTCTTGATTGTCAAGTTTAACATATGTCAAAAATGAAGAGGGAAGCTTTAATTGATAATTGGTTGGACTAAACCCTTTTAAGGTAAATGTTATTAGGTGAAATATGAAACATGTAATAGTTCATTAAGGAAAGACAGCATTTTATTTGCTAATAGGGATAAAAGTAAAATTCATTCTTGATTTTGCTCTTGAGTGAACTTCACTCCACAAAAGTGAACTTTGCTTGGCAGAAATGACCTTCATTCTTACTCTCACCTAGCTTTTAAAAAGGGAGTGGAGGAAAGATCACTCCAGGAGTGAAAAAAAGAGCCACATTTGACCTGGCTCATAGATATATAAATCAAGTGGTGCAGTGGAAGTACCTATAACCCACAGGTTAGATAATCAAAACATCCAAGTTTTTTGTTTTTTTTAATTTCGAAAATGCATACCAGAAACTAATTAAATTCCATAAGAAGCTACTATTTCCTCCATAATTTAAATATTAATCTTTGTCAACACTGGACGACAAAAGAGCTCTCCAAGAAAGAATCGATCGCTCCCTGGAGGAACGCAAGCTCGTCTTGCAGATGCTTAAGAGCAGTAGCATGTTGGTCTGGAGGACAATCGCTGCAAGTTCCCAGAAGATATCCAAAATCAAAACCTCTGCCCCGCTTCGAAAAATCGGAACCAGCACTGACAAATCTCCCCTGGGAAGCCTGCTTTGCACACACGGAAGCCACTTCCAGGAGCACATGTGAATCAACCCCGTCTTTGAGCTTCACAACCATGAAGACTTTGGGGCCGTCTCCCACTTGAGAGGCATCGTTGGTCTCCCAGTCGAGCCCAAAGAAGTCGTCACATATTTGCCTCCCAATCTCCACAACTTTGAGATGCTCTGGATGTGGTGAGTAGTGCGCAAGAGCTGCTTTCCCGGAGAACCTGGCGTAGAGGGCGTGAGTAAATGAAAACGTACCGCTGATCTCCGCAATCCTGGCAGCTCTGAAGTAGAGAATGCCATCCAGGCTCTTGAGATTGTTGAGCGAGTGTAGCCATTCTTCTTCTTGAGAATTTGATACCTCCTTCTTCAGCCTGAAGAGGACCAAGTGCTCCACAAAGGCCATAGCTGCGGTTGTGGAAAGGAAAAACTTTGTTGCTGAAAATGGATAAAAAAACAAGGCACTTACCAGCGACATGAAGCTTCCGCAAGTAGACAAACTTAGTCAATTCATCGTCTACCGTTCTTCGTCATAGGCATCTCCTGGCCGCTCTGAAAGTTTCAAAGAGTCACATCTTGGATGACAAACATAGATAGAATTGGGAATTTTGTACCTCGCAGAATATCACTTTGACGAACTGTTGATCTTCATCCCCGCGAAAGTTCTAGTCATCGACTAGCTTCCAGCAAGTTCCAAGTTCCTTGGCCAGCACAACTAGTCCGTCCTGGAGTCCCTCCGGACGGAGCAGCCTGGCCACACTTCTCAGAGTTTTCTCGTGTAGCGGCTTCCAGTCGTGAGCTATGGGTGCCACAAGAGCTTCTGGAACGCTGTAAACAAGCTCCAGTGGCTCCGGCACCGCCTCCGTCTGTGCTCCTCCTCCGGCCTTTTGAGGATCCTTGAGTGGCTTGCAAAGATCCAAGGACGCGGACTTGGCCACCCGGATCTGCGTCCGGAGCTTGTACTTCGCAGCATACATCTTCGCCAGCGACGATCGAAACAAGTACCCGATGAGCTCGCACATCTCCGCTCGGTTTGTCGAGTGCTGGTACAAGTCGGCCAGCGCTCGCAAGATCTTGTTGACGTGAGCATTGTTGTGAACCTGGTCCTCGTGAAAGAGCCGCATGCATGGAAGCGTGTTGTCTTTGTCGTCGAGAACGCCTACTCGCTTCAAGCTGTGGACGGCGTGCCCCACAGCGCCGTCCACGCAGAAGACGGTCTTCTCCACTTTCGAAACCGTTCCTCTCTTGTTTGAGGACGGCTCCCACTTCGTTTTCAACTTCTTGGTCTGGAAAAAATGGTGGCCGAGGAACAGCGTCGGCGTTGAGATCGCCTCAGGTGCTCCAAACTCCGGCTCGCGATGATACTTTTGCTTGCAGAAGACTCTACACTTCTCCTCGAAGCTCAAAACGTCGTCTCTTGTGCCTCTTACCGAGATAAGGAAGTGAGCTCCAAAGCGGACGTACTCCATTTTCCTAGCATTGTTTGGCTTCTCCTGCTCGTCGGTGCTAAAGCTTACACCGATGGACGGATCGTGAGGCCGACGGAACAGCTCGGCCTGCTTTTCCATCCAGGCGTCGAGCTCACTTAGATAAACGTTGGCCAGAAACGGACCCAGCTTGTTGCAGCATCCCCAGTCGGGAGTTCTTTGAGCCTCTGCCGGAGCAAATCCCAGAACCACCTCCAGCCACAACGGAGTCCTTCTCGGCTCAAACTCCAGGAACTTCCTCTTTGTCGGCTTCAATCTCTTAAACGGAAGCACGGCCGGAGGAGCTCGTGTCTTCATCCCCTTGATGATCAGCTCGCCAACTTTGTCGTCCTGGATCACATTGCGTAGAACCCGGTTGAAGAGCTCGGCCTGTGGATAATCGAAGAGCTTGGAGAGATCTCCTTTCACAGTCCACGAGACATCACCAAAGTTGCCGTGGATGAATCGGAGGCACTCGCGAGCACCCCTTCCCGGCCTATATCCAAACGATCTTCTCGAGAACTTGGCCTCGTATATCGGCTCCAAAACCATGAGTAGAACCTCCTGGACGATCTCGTCCTGGAAGCTCTTCTCGTCCACCTCCGTGGCCTCTATAGCCGTCTTGTGTGGAGGACAAACGTACACAACCTTCGTCCCACCCCAGCCATAGCAATTCGCACACACCGCTTCCATGAGAAGCTCCAGCGTTTCCAGAGTTTTGGGAGGGAGAGAGCTCACGGGACTCCATAGCTTGTTGTTGTAGCAGGCCCTCTGGTAGGCGCAGATCCAGAGGTCGGGATTTCTCAAGAGCCCGCCCAAGCAATGATGCTTCTTGTCCCTGTGCTGCTGGAAGCTCCAAATCCAGTGATAGGTGAGGAGAAGAGTGGCACGAATCCGGGCTGCGCTGGTCACCGGGCACGAATCGATCTGTGCGACGGCCCTGGCATCGAAGAATGCCGGCGGAGGATTGCGCTTCTTGCGCGGCGGCGGGGGATAGGAATAGTACCTCTTGGAGACTACGGAGGCGACGAGCTTCTTGGCACGGAACCCTAACATTCTCTACTAATGAAGACGCTTTTTTGAAAAGAAAAAAGATATATTAAATATTTGCACCACACTTTATTTTGGTATATCAATTTTCTTTTTCAACTTAATTTCCTAAGTTTTGTGGATTATTAAAATAAAAGTCTACTTTATAAATAGAGCCTAGTATTACTTTTTTTTTAATTTATAGAAGGAAAAATAATCACTTAAACAAAATGGAAGTAAACTCTGTGTTACTATTGTTATCAATTCTATTAAACATAGTAATTGTTTTAGAGAGTAGTTTAGAATATGTTGGGCATGAAAATGTCATCCCAGTTGGTGGGCCGCGAGAAGTTATCTTGAACACATTAGACCAAGTAATGGATTCCATTGATGACTATCACAGTTATCCATATGGTAGAGGTTTTGCTTTCTATAATGTTATAGGCTCTTATAGAGTGTTAGTTGGTGCATGGATGTTAGGGCCTGTAAATTTAAATGGATACTGTAGTGGTCAATGGGATGTTAAAGGTGGTGCTGGTGGTGAAGAACTAAAGCTTGGGCTATTTCCAATTTATCATGTTCTTAATGATAAAGCTAAATGGAAAGGTTATGATGCTCTAATAGTTGTTAATAACAATTTTATGGTTCTTTATTATTTAGAATATGGATCAAAAATTCCCAACTTAGAAGCTTTTAACACAGTATATATAAATGATTCTGACACCACATCTCTAAAGCCAGGAGACTTTTATGATTGTTGGATTTTGTATTCGGGTCTTATTAGTGGAGAGGACTATAATACCTTTTCTTTTATGATGCCAGGCACCATAAAGCTCTCACCAAATAAAATTTATCAACTAAATTTGTTAAACAATTGTGAGCTAGAATTAATGCATGTCCCAAGCTCACAAGAATATTGGAAATTAAATACTGGTAATCTTGGAGAAAATGGATGTATATTAAGACTTCAAACTGATGGTAATTTAGTTTTATATACAAGAAATAAAATTTCTCTATGGTCAAGTGATAAATATTGTAAATCTCCATGTGAAGTACCTTCAATTTTAGCTTTACAAGATGATGGGAATTTGGTTGTATATCATAGTTTAACTGGATATGCAGTGTGGCATATTAAATAAAAATTTTAGAAATAAGAAATTAAAAACTAAATTGATTTCAAGTTGTCAAAAATTATAATATTTTAAATATAATAACGTATATTAATATTTATTCTCTCTATTTTATTATAATTGCTTTAATTTTTATTTATATGCTTCTCAGCATGTCTCAATGTTTTACAGTTTTTGTATAATTCAACAGGTATTTTACTGTTTATAACATGATGATTTCTTATTTAACATTTCAAAAGAAAAGGTTAAAATTAAAAATAAAATTTCATAATGAAATATAGTGTTCTCAGAAACCATTATGAGTTTTAACTATAGACTTATAGTGATAAATACAGTTAATAAAGAGTTAAACATAATGTAATACATCAAGCAGTATGATTGTATTAAAGTGTTTGTAACAATATTAAGTATATCTACTATAAACATTATATATATCTATACTAATTATACTTATAAAACATGAATATATATATTACATTTTAAAGTCTATATATTTTATTAGACGCTCAAAGTGAAAGGTATATGTCAAATAAACCCTTCAAAACAAGAAACGAACCACTCTTCAAAGTTGAGCCAAGTGCTTAAACTTGCTATCCATATTAACCATCAGTTTTAAATAAATAAATTTGATATAATGTTAAATTATTTATTTCTTGATGAATTCCATACAAATTAAAATTATATTAATTACATTTTTTAACTTGAAACACCAATTAAGGAGCCAATTATAATCATTTGTTTAATATTTTTTTGTATATGGATTAAGTTGCATTATTTTATAGGTATTTTAAATATAGAACTTTTCACTATTTAAACTTTACACTATACACTTTAAAGTTTAAGTACTACAATATTTAAATTTAGCTACTTACTGGGTAAAGAAAAATATAAAGTATTGTCACACATATAATGAATTAGAATTGAAGCGAGAGATCTTCTATAGAAGGGTGGTTTTGTATAATGGTGCATTGAAAAGTAAGTCAATATGATGAGAAATAGTAATAATGGGGGCACATCCATAAGTAATTGCAACTGAGTCCACTAAAATATGATTTTATCCCATCAAACCATTTAATATTTATATATACATATTTCAGATCTGCTAATTATTTTACAGGTGAAATAAATAATCACTTAAAAAAAGTAAGTAGTCCCATTCAAATATTAAAATGCATACAATAACTTATTATAGCAATCAACATGATTATGTGTATAATATTTTATATATGTGTGTAATAACAAATATCCACATATGTGTAAATAAAAGGGGCACCAATGTGCAATTTGCCATAAATTAGTGGAAAGTAAAATAAAATAAATAAAGAATAGAAAAATTATAATTAAATATAATTTATTTATCCATCTGAAAAAATAACAATTTTTAAATGTAAATTAAACTTTCCCTATTTTCAAGAATTAAAACCTCTATTATAGAAAAACTTAAACATCCTAAATTTTTAATACAACTATGAAAGACATAAATAGTCCTAAGAATACCTAGTACTTATGAAATTGTTAGCAATTAAAGTGAAAGACACATAAATGTTAACTCACTATCAAATAAGTATAAGAAATGCTAGTAAAACTTATATTATAATGAGGTAGTTTTTCTAAATAAATAGTTAAGATAAACTTCTTTCTAAATAATTTAGTGACAACTGAGGACAACTGAAGATAACCAAGAACAACTAAAGTCAACTGAAGTCAACCAAAGACAACTAACACAACTAAAGACAAATAAAGACAAATTAGAACTGGCAAGAAAAAACTTGATCCAACTTTCTTGGTTATAAAATATTCACTAGAATCTTTTTGCGTATGGAATGGCTACAAATGGGCTATTAATGGACATCATAGCCCATCAAGGCTGGAATCTTCTTGGCTATGGAATGAATGCAAATGGGCCATGGATAGAGCATTATAGCCCATTAGGGCATGAGCTTTCCTGTTTGGTCATTGCACAACTTTGCCCTAGTGGCACTGGCTAGCTTACTATAGTCCTTAATTGTAAATTAAATAAGTTGTGGATGTATCTAGGAGGCTTCATGAAGATTCTTAGTGCCATAAATTTCTTCCAACATGTGACGATGTAGAGCAACCAAGTGTGTAATGCTCTTGGAACACAAGTTCTGGGGACATAATATGTATGTCTTACAAGTTTAGTTATGAATGAGACATTTCATTGGATGAGTTTCAAGAGGTCAATTACAAATAAGAGGAAGCTTCATTCTAACTTCTCTTGCTCATGTCACCTGCCAGCCATATAATCTCTAAAGGTTAGAAGTTGCTTCTTTAGAGGAGGCATGCAAGGGAGCACCAAGCACTATTATGTTATTTTTTCTCTTTTATTTATGCAATATCAAGGTTATTATACTAGAGACCATTTACATGGTGACCATGTAAGAGCTGTGGCAAGCTAGTAGCAAGTTTTTATGTCCATGGATGTTATAAGAAAGCCATGTTAGACATTAAAAGTACAACCTGCAATAAATGCTAGCAGTGTGAAAAGGTTTCATTTAGTAGGTTTCATATTCTAAATTCATCAACTTGAATTATTGCTTGCATTCATACTATTGTTTAAAGAGTTTGTTTGTCTTTTGTCTCATTTTTAGTCTTGTAAAGCAAAGTAGGATGATAATTGTCATTTCTGTGGCTTTCTTAATTTAGACCTTTAAAGCTAATGATAAAGGCTTTGCTAAATTGTTAGTAGTTGCAAAAGGAAGTTCAGAGTATTGATAAATAAATCTTGATAAAGAATTATTTTCTCCTATTTATATTGTATATCTAACCATTTTAGAAGTTATAACAAACTTGGACATGTAAGAATTAATGATATTAATGAATTCCTTATTACTTATTCATAGATAAAGCTAGCATGAAGCACATCTTCATTATTTACTCCATACTACTTTTTAAAAAAATTGGCCAAAAAGAAACTGATTTGGTTATAGAATATTCTAGAATCTTATTGGCTATGGAATGGCTAAAAATAAGCTACGGATGGGGCATCATGACTTTTTCTATCTACCCATCACAACCTCAATCATAGATTAAATAAATTGTGGACACACTTACAAGGCTTCACTAAAATTCTCAGTGCCATAGATTTTTTCTAATGCATGATGATGCAAGGTAAAAGAGTGGCAAGAAGTGTGTAGTGCTCCTAGAAGACAAATTCTAGGGATGTGATATTTTTGCCTCTCAAGCTTAAGAGGCTTCATGAGATAAGCTTCAAAGCTTGATCACAAATAAGATGAAGCCCCATTTTAATTTCTTTCATTATATGGCCAGGTAATATATAATCTCTAGAGGTTATAATGATCAATTTTATCTAGAAAATATCTAGAACTTTTGGTTTGTTACCCCTTTATATTTGAACCCTATGAATCATCTCGAGTCATTCTTTTTAGCTACTTACACTAAATAATTGAAGTAATAAGCCACCACATAGACTAGTTTGTCTTTGGTTGTATTCAATTAGTTATCCTCAATTATCCTTAATTGTCACTAAGTTATATTAAGATTGTCTTTAGTTATAGTTTATTTTACAAATTACGTATGCATTTTCAACATCTGATGCAATTGCTATAGTTTACCATGATATGCCCTCAACTTTAACAATTATAACATTATAATCTATGAACACATCCTCTATTCTTTCCTCACCTAACCATAAGCGTGCTTACCCTAGTTGTCATAGCTATTTTGTTCATGTGCCACTGAAATGGTTGGAGTGTCCACCTCCATTGGTATCAAAGATTTGTTAAGTGTAGGATGAGGAAAGGAATGTATGCCACATGGATATGGCATTAAGAACTTTACCTCCTTCATGTTATGGATGATGGCCACAAACAAACACTACATTTTGGCCAAAAATAATAAAGAAAACCCAACTTG